TAGAGGTCAGTAGAACCCAGGAGAACAACATTAGAGGTCAGTAGAACCCAGGAGAACATTAGAGGTCAGTAGAACCCAGGAGAACAACATTAGAGGTCAGTAGAACAACATTAGAGGTAGGTAGAACCAAGGAGAACAACATTAGTGTCACAGCTCTGTCACTTCTATCTTGCTTTTTCCACCTTTCACTCACCTAATCAGTTCATTCAGTGCACCTGCTCACTCTGCCTCTTCACTATTTAAACCCCTGCCTCACACACACTCACTGCCAGATCGTTCTCAGCATTCACGCTACACTTTCCCGCATTCACCCAAGGACTGATTCCCTGTTGCCGATCCTGCCTGTTCTGGACTACCTCGCCTTGCCTCTGCCCTGGTAACTCGCTCAGCATTTCTGTCCTTGACCACGAGAATCCTGTCGCTGATTCTTCCGGAGAATATTCTGCCTGTCGTGTGTTGAAAATAAAGAACTTAAATCATACCAGTCCTGGTGTTGTCGTACTGCTCCTGGGTCCTAACTACACCCGTTACAATTAGAACCCAGGGGAACAACATTAGAGGTCAGTAAAACCCAGGAGAACATCATTAGAGGTCAATAGAACCCAGAGAAATCTGAGTGCAGAGGAGGAGAAAACTTGGATTAGGTTACAAATTACATTTCTTTAACAGGTAATTTGTTATTGTATCAGATTAGATTTATAGGTGCTATATACATGATGGGGATTATTTCTATTGCCTTTCAATGGCTCTCGACATGGTGACCACTGAGCCGGCGGCTCAGCGCTAACAGAGCTAACAGTGCTAACAGTGTTTACTTAAGGTGGAATCAGAGGGCGGGTGCTATGTTTCCACAACGACGTTCTCAGCTGTAGGAGAGCCGTGCACGCTTACGTGCACTAACCCAGTTGTGTCAACCAAACACAGAGAAGCTTGGATTATCATGCATATGAATGATAGGAAGTGTTTTTGTTTTTCTACTTCCAGGTCGTGACCTTGTTAAACGACCTCTACACCTGTTTCGACGCCATCATCGACAACTTTGATGTTTACAAGGTAAAACATCCACAGCCCGTCTCATTATGTTAAAAGATGTGAATACAGATAAAGAGCTACACATTGAAACATGTTAAAGTAACGACTCACCTTTGGGACGGGGTGCTGTCCCCCCAGGTGGAGACCATCGGTGACGCCTACATGGTGGTGTCCGGTCTGCCGGTGAGGAACGGGAAGCTCCACGGGCGGGAGGTGGCCCGGATGAGCCTCGCCCTGCTGGACACCGTCAAGAGCTTCAGGATCCGACACCGAGCCAATCAGCAGCTGCGGCTACGCATCGGCATCCACAGCGGTCAGTCTGTCCGTCTGTGTGTGATAATGATTCATATGTACCATTAAAAACCATAGACAGAACCAGGCTCTTCAGTTAGATGTTACCCCTGTGGGGGGTACCACAGGGTCTGGTTCTGGGTCCTCCTTTATTCACTGAGTACATGAATCTCAGACTTTCATTTCTACCCTGACGACTCTGTTATTTCTGCTGCTGAGGGTCTTCACTCCACTTCTCTAAATGCAGAATTCTTTTTTTTTTTTACATTGTAGTATTAATACTTTTAGTAGATCTGAATACTTCTACTGTGATAATGTTTTAAAAGTATGATAAATAACGTGTGTGTGTGTGTGTGTGTGTGTGTGTTTGTGTGTAGGTCCAGTGTGTGCAGGTGTGGTCGGGCTGAAGATGCCCAGGTACTGTCTTTTCGGAGACACCGTCAACACAGCGTCACGCATGGAGTCCAATGGAGAGGGTAACACGCGCACACACACACACACACCCACACACACACGTATACACACACATCACAGTAGACTGTATAGAAAGTCACCCACAGGTTTATTAAGAGCCACAGTGAAGCTCAAAGGTTGTGGCACCAACCGTTGCCATTTCGTTGTTTCGAAACCAGAAGTGACCATATTTGTATAGTAAACAAATAATAAACTTAAGCTCAGCCTAAAATACATGAAAATACAATACTTACTGTTTATAGTTTTCACATGTTATCATATTATATTTTATGTCCTGTTTCTGTAAAAACACTTTGACTCTGTGTGTTTTCTGTCTGTTTGTTGTTTTGTGATGTTGATGTGATTGTTTTGATGATGTCACTGTGAAGTTATGATGTTGATGTTGTGTTTGTTTTGATGTTGTGTTTGTTTTGATGTTTGTTTTGATGTTTGTTTTGATGTTTGTTTTGATGTT